CACTGTCTCATTCACTCACTGACTCACTCTCACTCTCTCACTGTCTCATTCACTCACTGACTTACTCTCACTCACTGACTCACTAACTCACTATCACTTTCTCACTGTCTCTCTCACTCACTGACTCACCCTCACTCACTCACTGTCTCATTCACTCACTGACTCACTCTCACTCTCACTGTCTCATTCACTCACTGACTTACTCTCACTCACTGACTCACTCTCACTCTCTCACTGTCTCTCTCACTCACTGACTTACTCTCACTCACTAACTCACTATCACTCTCTCACTGTCTCTCTCACTCACTGACTCACTCTCACTCTCTCACTGTCTCACTCACCCACTGTCTCACTCTCACTCACTCACTGTCTCACTCACTCACTCACTGTCTCACTCACTCACTGACTTACTCTCACAAAGAAAAAAAAAGAACATGTACAGATCATATAACAATGCAATTAAAATAAATTCTCATGTTTTCTATTAAAATTGTTCAATTGTGTTTACTTCACATGTTTATCATGCAATAATATTACCTCATTTAATCATTAATGTACTATCAGTAATATTAGACTTGTTTAATGTTCTTATGAGATAAATGATAATTTTTTAAGTTATTTATCAACTTATTTATGTTGCACTCTCTATGCTATTCAACTTTTTTTTAAGTGCTCACTGATGGGATTACTTAAATAAAAGCAAATTCGAATAATTTCAAGAATAACTAATAGTTTCTTCTTTGGGGAAAATGAAAAGTATTAGCATAGTACCAGACACACAGCAGATATACAATAATATAGTCACCCCAATCAAATATTAAGTTTTAGGTGTAGAATCCTATGTGACTCAGAAACAGACGGAACTGTAACTATTGATATTGTGGCTGTTCCAATTAGTTTCCTGTGTTGTTTGGTTTCAGATTGACATAGAGATGTCTTTTGTCGACCAGACTGGGGTCCAGAGTCTAATTGAAGGTTTGCTTCAGCACTCCTGGCCCAGGGACAAAGACCCTCTGGTGGTCCCTTTTCCTTCGATGACTTTTGCTGAGGCTTTGTCCACTTACGGCACCGATAAGCCTGACACTCGTTTTGGAATGAAGGTGATTCTTTTCACTCTTCCAGGACTGTGCCCCACTCGTCCTGCAGTCTCTTAACCCTCTTTGAAATGTACAACTAGTTGTACACTATTGTATAGTTTTCTTTGCTACCACGCTACAGTAAGAGAGAATGATGGCGTGTTCACATTAAAATACTTTGTTGCCTTCTACCATAGAGCTCTGCTGCCACTTTCTTTCAGGTAAGCCCTGGACCATTCACCAGGAGTCCGCAGTTCAAACCCACCACCTCTTCTTTTGCTTCCTGAAAGATTTAAAGTCTCAGAAACTCTATACAGGGGTTAGTATGAGTCAGAATCAATTCAATAGCAGTGGATTTGGGGGTCCTGTGTTTCTAGAGAGGGGACTCTAGTGGTACACTGGTAACAGTTTGATGATTTGAACCCATCAAGCCACTCCACAGAAGAAAAATGTGGCTGGCAGTCTACGTCCCTAAAGATTGATAGCCTTGGAAACCCCCTGGGCAAGTTCAACTATAGGGTCAGAATCAACTACTTTGTCCAGATCAATTCAACAGCAGGGGTTTGATTTGATTTATTTTTTTAATGTTCCAAGCCATTTCCTCTATTTTTATGAATTAATGTATTTACATATGTACACACCTATGTTTATACCTCTATCCATAGCTTTGCCTCCTAGATCGTTCCTTTTACCTTCCTCCTGCCCCACCATCACACTCACCATTCTGCTTCTTAGTAATTCTCTCAGCTAGATTGCTGTTGCTCCAACACCCCCAGGATCTCTATGCCCTTGTTGATTTTTATTCCCTAGTTGTTCCCTTGTCTATGGCATTATTTGCTCATCACTCCTTTCCTCTGCCACCTCCTCTCCACAAGTTTCTCTGGAACTGTTGCTCCCATTGCTTTCTCCTCAGGTTTGCTTCCCATGCCTATCTTACATAGGTCGGCAAACCAACAGTAACAGAAACAAGACCAAAAGACCCAAATGATTGAATAAAAAGGGTGGGGGGAGAAAAATAGCTAGCAAAACAGAAAAGCATACTTAATTCCTTTATGACTATCTTCCCACTGGTCCTGGGGGGCTTCTGGGAACTGTCCCTCCTAGCCTTGTCTATTTTGGGGGCTTCTCAAGGGTTTTGTGGCTTGGCTTTGCTTCCATTGCTGATCTGTTATGTTCCTTTCTTGGTTCGCCCTACTGTGGGGGTCGTCAGACCAGACTCACTCCTTGCCGGGTGTCCCCAGTATTGTCCTCTGTCACAGTATGCTTCAGTGAGGGGACATCATGCCTCGAGCTGTTGTCGGCTCTACAGTCCTCTCTGCCTTAGCAGCACTGTGCAGGGACGTCATCCTCAGGGCTTGGTGTGCCAGTCTGAGGTCTAGTCCCTCGCTCACTTTTTCGTTCTTGGTTTGTCTCTGTATGGGCGTGGTAGGCCAGACCCTCTCCCCAACCTGTAGATTTAGTGTTGTCCTCTGTAGCACATACTTCTAGGGAGGGGGTGAGTTTGGCTCTGATTGGGGCCGGCCCTGTAGACCTTTCTGTTCATGAGTTGCTTCATGTGGTTACATTGCCCTCAAAGTTTGGCATGCCGTGGTGGGGTCTACACTCACACTCCCATTTCTGTGGAGACATAAACCATCCCCTCCCCCTGGGTGAATTACTGCCCTGCTTCCCCAGTGCCATCATTTCCTTTCACCCCCCATTTTCTCTTTCCCCCACCCCCAATTTCCCCTTCTTTGTATTGGAATGACTTGAACATCCTTGGGTTTGGTCAGTACAGTGATTCTTAAGTCAGACTCTGGCACTTCCTAGTTCTGTTGGGTTATCTTGGGTAACTTGCTTTTTTGTCTGGGCCTCAGCTGCTACATCTATGGAATGAGGCTAATAAGAATGCCTACCTCTTATTTTCTGGTATGAGATTAATTAGTATATATTAAGCACTTTTTACAGAGACCAACCTATTGTAAGCATTCATGTTTGTAAATAATAATGATTGTCAAATGGGAATAAAATTTGTATATTCACTTTAATCACCCCTTCTTTGGAACCTCCTTTCCAGATTATAGATATCAGTGATGTGTTTAGAAACACAAAGATTGGAATTCTTCAAGATGTGCTTAACAAGTCCCAAGGTACCATCAAAGCCATATGTATTCCTGAAGGAACAGTAAGTAAAGCACAATTCTGCCTTCACTAGATTGGGTATTGGGGAAGTAAATGGGATTAATACTAGCCCTGCTGACCTTCAGAAAGGAGAATTCTTTTAAACACAAATATGTATTTTACAGAAAGTCCAATAGTATCCCTAATACTAATAATATCAGTAGAGAATAATGAAAACCTGTTATAAAGTACTCCTGTAAATGTATGTCATTTGAGTTACTTCCACCAATGGTGAACATAAAATAGTATTTAATATCCTACCAAAGACTCTTAGCCCTGTGTGACCTCTAGCAAGCTCTTGCATGGTGGTTTTAATCTTCCTACCTATTTATTTCCTGTCGTTAGTAAGCCTGTTTAGAAAGTAACTTAATAAGAGGGATTTCTGATGCCTGTAAAGAAGAATTCAGAGTCAGAACCAACTCAGCAGACTCGTCTGGCTGTAGAGCAGTGTGTTCCGATAGGGACGGAGACGGTCTCTGTATCTTAGGTGTCCTTCTTATATTCAGGAGAAAGTCATTTGATATCCACCCCCCAATCCAGACATGCCTCATGTGTTCAGTAAACATAGTGCTTCCTGTTATTTATCCTGTTTGAGTGTGGCTAGTCTTCCCCTAGTAATTGTGTAGGCAGACCAGGTTTTTACCTTTTTGTACCCCCATGCCTAGTTCATTGCCGTACAAATATTAGTTAAATGTGCTAACCATAGTGTCTCACTTAGATATATTAAGATAACTTAGGAAAAGTAAAAAAATTTTTAAAACCTGAAATATGGCGCAGTCACTGCAGCCACTGGCAGTGCCTCAAGAAGTTAAATAGAGAACTCCTGTCTGACTCGGCAATTCCACTGTTACATACCCAAAAGACTTGAAGGCAGAGACACAAACAGATATGTAGACACAGGTTCATTGCAGCACAACTCCTAATAGCCGAAAGGTAGAAACAACACAAGACTATCAAGAGATGGATGCACAAGGAAAATGTGGTATGCAGATATGTGCAGTATTACTCACCCCGAAAGAAGTCCGAATACATGCTCCAGCTTACATGAACCATGCTGAGTGAAATAAGTCAGTCACACAAGAACACATATTACATATAGATCAAAATTTTGTTCATCATTATCAGGAACTGGTGGGAGGGGTCAAGAGGTAGTTATTGTTTAAATGACAATGAATTGCTATTAAGAGTGATGAAAGATTTAGAAATGGAAAATGGCTATGGTTGCACAAAATGAACATAATAAAGGTCACTGAGTTGATACACATAAAAAGGGTGAAGTGGAAAATGGTTTTTTATCTATGTTATATGCACACATATATACATAGAGGGAGCTTCAAAAATTTTATGGAAACTTAAATGAAAAATAATGGCATCTTCCCATGAACTTTTTGAAGTGTGTGTGTATAAAAGAAGGAAACTGGAAGTATTGCTATAAATTCATAGAAACCTTTATTAAACAAAAATAGCAAATTGTGAAGTATTTGTTCCTCAACAGATCCACCATCCAGGTCTGTATACTTTTGAAGGTTACGATTCCATACTCTAGCCCTTCCTTCAAGAAAGACTTAAATAATTCATCTGCTTTTCAGTGTACTTTGAGTGTGGGGAACAAGAAGCAGTCTGAAAGGACTGCAGGTGGGTGGGGAAGGTTTCCCAGTGAAATGCTCGTAGGACAGCCCCTGCTGCCCTCAGAGAATGAGCAGGTTCCACTGTCAGAACAAGAAAAAAAATTCTCAGTGCAACTTCTAGGCTGCTTTTCATCGATGCACAATGTAATATCCTGTGTTGGTCAAGAAAATCTATCAAGATTACTCCTCTGGAATAAAAATACATATTCACCATAACCTTCTGAACCTTGAATTTAACTGGCCCGGTAGAGCCCCTTAAAATCAGTTTTTACTAGATCCATTTTTTTTGTTTTGTTTTGTTTTTGGCTTTTTGAAGGCGCCCTAATGAAGCTAAGATATGTCTATTACTGAGAGAAGTTGTCGGCACCTGTGGAGACGTTGAATTACTTAGTTTGCCTCTTCTGGCCCTAGTCTTTGTAACTCTCACCAAATGGCTTTTTCTCTATGAGTTGGGTAAGAGAAAGTGGAGAAGATACTGTGATAGGATTATATGATTCAGTTGTGAGTGATCGTTAGCAGAGCTAATTGCAATCGTAAAAACTTTGAACTCTACCCTGGTGATTGGTCAGGTGTGCCATTCTCCTGGCTGTAAAATGAGCCATCTCAGAAGCCAGAAGTGAAGAAGGAAAAAAAGCCAGAAGTGGACTGAGTCCTTTGGACCCTGAGGTCCCTGCACTTTGAATTTCATCCAGGGACAGGAAGCTGTGACACCAGATGGCAGAGGAGCAGTGACAGCAGAGCCAAGAGACTCGCCACCCCCCCGCCCACCGCACCCCCCAAGACAAAGTGAAGCTCAGTGCCTTTGGGCAGGAAACTTGAGTGGACTGACAGGCCAACGCCCAGAGACAGGCTGGCCTATGGGCACTGCAGAGAAGAGGTTACCCTGGCTAGAGCTGTGTCTTGAATTACAACCTGCGAACTTCCCTAATAATATCCATAACTGAGAGCGTGGCCTCTGACTTCTAGTTGACCACTGCAGTGAATTGTAGCTGAAAAGCAGAAAGTGCTGTGGGAGGAACAGTTGATGCCCGAATTGGAAAAGAAAGTTAGAGGGCGTGAAGGCAAGTAGGATCCTCAGTTGCATAGGAATTGGCTTTAGACAACTGATGCTGATAATGGTGATTCTCTTATCCCTCCCCAAACCCCTGTGAAGTCAGACAAGGTCACACACTGCCTCCATGACCTTTTCAGAGCAGCCACATCATAGAGCCATGGTTAGACATGTTTTATTTGCACTAAACTTGTATATGAACTGGAAGCCTAGTTAAAATGCTTTATGATTCATCCTTGTATATCACAGTTTTAAAAAATGAGAAAGAATACACATACAACCTGAAATATGAAATTCTGAATATCTTACTGATCTGAAAGTTATATTTTTCTTCACAAATCTACGCATTTTGAGAATTTATCCTGCAATAATGCATATGCAAAGTCTTCTACATTTACAGCTATTTCCAGTGAGAATTGCATAATTAGCAAGTCTTTTTTTTTTTAACATTTTATTAGGGCCTCATACAACTGTTATCGCAATCCATACACACATCAATTGTGTAAAGCGCATTTGTACATCATTCTCAAAACATTTTCTCTCCACTTAAACCCCCGACATTAGGTCCTCATTTTTCCCCTCCCTCCTCGCTCCCCCCTCCCTCATGAGCCCTTGATAGTTTATGAATTGGTATTTTGTCATATCTTGCCCTGTCCGACGTCTCCCTTCACCCTATTTTTGGTTGTCTGTCCCCCAGGGAGGGGGTCACATATAGTTCCTTGTAATCGGTTCCCTCTTTCCTACCCATTCTCCCTTTACCCTCCCTGTTTTGCCACTCACACCACTGGTCCTGTAGGGCTCATCCACCCTGGATTCCCTGGATTTTCAGTTCCTATCTGTACCAGTGTACATCCTCTGGTCTAGCCAGACTTGCAAGGTCGAATTCGAGTCATGGTAGTGGGAGCAGGGAGGAAACATTTAGGAACTAGAGGAAAGTTGTATTTCTCAACGTTGTTACATCGCACCCTGACTGGCTCATCTCCTTCCCGAGACCCCTCTGCAAGGGGATCAATTAGCAAGTCTTTTAACAAGCTTTGAAAACAGTAAATTCTTACAGAATCCCACTCCTATGCTGAGAAGACCCAAAATGTATTTGCGTTCCATGTGATATAAGCATGTTTATGGAGCCAGTGTTTTATACTGATTAATTCACTTTTGTTTTTCTAGAAATACTTAAAAAGGAAAGATATTGAAACTATTAGAAAATTTGCAGCTGAACAGTTTAATCAGGTAAGGAGTTAATCAGCAGTTTTTTTCTTTTGAGGATTAACATTTTGACCTAATAATTGCTTGCGGTCTTACGTTTAAATGTCTTGTTACTTTTGAACATCCTACGTTTCTTCCTCTTATTTTTTTTTCTTCCTCTTATTTTTAAAATTACCATATATACTTGAGTATAAGTCAACCCAAATATCAGCCGAGGCACCTAATTTTACCACAAAAACTGCATTAAAAATGTGCTGAAAACAAATGTACAAATGTTCTTGACATAATGGATGTATGTATGGATTGTGATAAGAGTTGTACGAGCCCCCAATAAAATGATTTTTTTAATGTACTGAGAAACTCAGCTTATACTCGAGTACATATGGTAATCATGTCCTCCTAAGACTTCAATACAAAGTCATCTGACTCATCCTTAATCAGAAATGTGAAAATCCAACCTTAGCTTTTGATAAACAAAGATACTTTAATGCAGTTAGGAATACAAACAGACTGTTAGGCTGGGTTGTCTAGAGAATCACACCAATGGCACGTGTATGTATAAGAACTTTCTATCAAGAGGGGATTTTGTCCCTGCGCCATTTTCTAAAAAAGAATAATAAAAGACTTTTTTTTCTTTTAAGTAATAATTTTATATCAAAATGGCATTCTAGCCCATTCCAACTCAATGCATGGATCCACTGCTAGCCAGACCCCTCTAGCCAGACAGAATGGTCACATGGGAAGCAGGGTGCTCACAGGCTGGTGGGTACAGAGTTGCACAGATCCAAGGTCAGTAGAGACCTGGCAGGTCCTACATGAGCCACCCCGGAGGCAGACACAGAGTCCCAGTAAGGAGGAAGGCAAAGGGCAAGAGAAAAAGGGATTCCCAGTGTCTCTTTAAAAAGACCACACCCCCAAGGAGGCATCTCCAGGCCATTTCTAATTGGCAGGTTGAACTCCACCCTACACGTTCATACTAGTTCAGGTCAACAGTATAACTGCCAGAGACCATACACCTGATTAAAAGGAGGCATGAGAGTTGGTGTGAAAGAAAAATTGAATTCTTTGTTCTTCCTGTACTGTCTTTTACAGTGTGAATACACTTCTCAAGCACATTTTATTGTGGCTTGGTAGATAGTAGATGTCAGAAGGCAGAGAACGAGTGATAAATGGGCATTTTCATACCTTATCTCTTGAAATATTAATTGTCTTGAAACCAGTAGTTTTAAAAATATTCACTCTCTTGGAGTCGGTAATTTGTAATCTATTCTAAAGCAAGGATTCTAAATGGAGATACTGTGTTCTTCATACTGTCATCTATAGCAAAATTAAGTCCATGGGAACTATTAATTATATTAATTACATAATCACAAGATTATGCAAATCTCAGGATATTAAAGTTCCTGTTTAAAACTTTGTGTGTGTGTGTGTGTGTGTGTGTGTGTGTGTGTGTGTGTAAAAAAGATCTTTATACACAAGGGCAATTGAATATTGAGAAAACACCCCAGCCCAGTCCAGATCAAGTTAATAAGTCCAGCATTACCCCATATGTGGATACTAGTCCATAAACTCTTCTTCTGACTCATGAACACCATGTAATGATGCTGAATGCAGGAAGTGCAGATCCCAGGGTAGTGCGTGGAAAGTCTTGTGGATCCAGTGGTGGTAGAAGCCTCTCAGCACTGGTATGGGTCTCCACATGGGTCCTCTGGTTCCCAGGGCTGGCTGCATCAGGGTAGCTCCATGTGGCTTCTCAGCAAATATGTCTCCCAGGAGTGAGCCTTGTCAGTAGAGAGTTTCCAAGGTATAAAACTTTGTTTCTTAAAAGCTTATAGTATAGAGAAAATGTACATAGTGATGATTCACTTTAAAATAAAAAGGTATAAAAATTACATATAAGAAGGGACTTCAAAAAGTTCTTGGGAAAATGGAATTTTTCCACAAAGTTTTTGAAGCCCCTTCATTTATGAAAATGTTACATCTGTGATTGAAAAACTAATTACCTGTTCGACCATCATATTCCTATGTCTCATACTGCAAGTTTGAAAAATAAAGGTATTTTTCCTTAAGGAAAGAAGAAAATATGTTAGGATAGTGGTTCCACAGTGGTTTGAGACAACATCAGAAAAGCCAACGAAGTAAAAGTTTTCATATGGTTAAATGAATTTAATTTTTCAAACAATCCTTTATATTAGGCTACAGCCTAATTTTTAAAGGCTCAAATTAGCCATGTCACTTTTAGGGTGTGCACTTGGTAAAGGGTGAGGGAGAGTGCTGGTGAATCTCCCTGAGACTCGAGACACATGGGCTTGAGAACCAGGAGGAGCTAAAACAGCATCTGCCTCCCCTCTCCCATGTCCCCCCAGACTGTCAGTCCTGTTGTTTTCTCCTCCAGATTGCTAATCCCGCCTATCTTATCTAGATAGACCTGCAGAGATAATAATATGCATAAAACACAAGACAGCAAAGCAACAAAAGAAAACAAAACAACAACAACAAAAAGAAAGGCCTGTAAATAGTTCAATGTCTGTTTGTTGACCTTTAAGAGTGTTTTCCAGTAGAGTCTGATGGGGGGCCATGCCCTGGCCCCAAAGTCTATTTTTGGTATTCCCTGAGGACTTTGTTGCTCTGCTTCCTTTGCTGTTCTGTTGCGCAGCCTTAGTGTTTGGCCTCAGTGTGGTGGGGTGAGATCGGGCAAAATTTCCACACTGTGTCTCCAGTATTATCCCCAATAGAGCTGTGGGTCAGTGAGGGATGTCGTGCCTCCTAGTGGAGCCGGCCCTATGGTCCTCTCTGTGCATTGCCTGCTCTGAGCAGGAATATCGTCCTCAGGAATTAGTGGGCCAGGATGTGTTCCACTCTCTCTTCCTCCCCCTCTCATTTGCTCCCATGTGCTCTGATCAGACATGTCCTTCTCCCCTAGCTGTAGCTTCGGTGCTGTCCTCTGAGGTGAATTCTTCTGCGGGGAAGGGGAGCTATCCACATAGTTGGGATTGGGGCGGGCCCCTCAGACCTCGAATCTTTATCTTTATCTTTATCATAGGAAGTCTTACCTGTATTCCTGAAAACCAATAGCAACTGGAATTTTCCAGTTGCTAAATCCATAGTGGAGGAGCAAACACTGGAACTAATTAGACTCCTGGAGACCCAAGAAGATGTGATCCTACTGACTGCGGGCGAGCATACGAAAACGGTAGGGAAAGAATACGTGCTGTTGATGCAGAACAGTGCCCTTCGCCTCTGTGTGTAATATATATTTGAAACTAACATGTAATTTTTATAAAGTGGCGCTACTCTTAATGATATCGTTATCAATAAATATCTTGTTTTTCAGTATTTTATAATGCAATGAGTAAAATTTACCCTGAGGTTTTTTGTTGTTGTTTTCATCAGTTACCAGGCTCTCTTGGCATCACTCACATGGATTTAATTTGACTCTGATTAGAACATTCCTTACACATAGAGTTCTTGGTATTAATTGTATGATCATGAAAAAAAAAAAAAGTTAGTTTCAGAGATTTTTCAGATAAAGAGTATTTGGTAGTCCCAAGACTTTTGAACAGAACATATTCTTATCCCTGAAAATGAGAGGCAATCAGCTTGCTGGAGAGCTGCTAGGTTAGCAGGTATCCGTGGCCCACCTTGGTTGGGGGTCCCTGTTTCCTGAAGAGCAGGAGCTGGCAGATGAGTGCAGCCATTACATGGTTACAGTCACTATTCTTAAGGCAGGGGCATATGAAGGTCACTGTAAATATACAGAAGTGGTACAGAAGTCAAACATGAATTTTGAAGATATATATAATTAATATTCTTTAGCATGATTTCTTTATAATAGTAATAGTATCTAGCTAGTATTTTACCAAGATCACTCCTCTGATTTGTATTTGCCCTATGACAGTGCTGTGAATTACTTGGTATGGTCCTTCTAGCAGTAGGTTTTGTAATCCCAACCAAATAACTGGCTCGGACTATGCAAATATGAAGTGTCTGTGACTTTCCAAGGGATTGGATAGCTTGCTAATAAGTACTTGGGGCAGGACCATGCAAATAAGGTCTATGCAACCCTAATGTGGGGATGTCAATTTGGTCATCTGTCAAGTAGAAAGGTCATCTATCAAGTAGATGGTCATTAACCATCAACAAAGAAGCGCCAGGAGTCCTTTGGACCCAAGATTGCTGGGCTGTGACCACAGATAGTGAGAGACAAGAAGCAAAGACAGAGAAGTAGCAGCATAAAAGTAGAAACCGACAGGAGACAGAGTGCTGGGCTTCCTTCCCATGGAGCAGAAAAACTGAGTGCCTTTGGGCAGGATGCCTGAGGGGTGTCTTCTGGGCATTTGGGAAGCTAGGTGTGCTGACTCATGGAGTCAGAGCTAAATGCCTTCAACTGAGCCTTACTGGAGTAGTGGAGTACCTTTTGGGTCTTTATGAGCAGCTGTGTAACATTCCCACACAGGGAGAGACCAAGGGGCTATAAGGCTAAGAGGCCAAGGACCAGAGAGAAGTACTTGTGAGCATGTGAGAAGAGGTTCCTCACTAAAGAACTGTATCTTGAGGATTTCTGATCCTGAATTGTATGTAAACTGTTAATGTCTCCAATTAACTCGATGATTGTGAGTTATATGTGTCCCTTGTAATGAATTCTTAAACCCAGAAGACAAGATAATACAATTAAGGTATAAAGGTTAAAAATGTGTACACGGTCACACAGCTGAGAAGTGGAGGAGCCAGGTTTCTTACCCCAAATTGACATTCTTACCCACTAACCTCTAGTACATACCAATTCTCTAATAATAGCCCGCTCTTTTGAACAAAACTATGAGCCAGACAGACACTCATCAAATCCTAACCACAACCCTTCAGGAGCTGTGAGGAAATCATCAGAATAGCTGCCATCATGTAATTTGTCAGATCCTGCACCTTATATGAATTGAATAGTGTCCAAAGAAAGTATGTGTTTTGGATCTTAACCCTTGTACCTGTGATTATAATCCCATTTGGGTAGGGTCTTCTTTGTTAAGAAGCCAACCTCTTTTGAGCTATAAAAGTAGCCTAAGACAGAGAGGGGAGCAGAGATGGAGGATGGTGGATGCCATGCCACATGAAGATTACCCAGGAACAAGGAATAGGAGGAATAGAGTCAACAGAAGAAGGCTTTCCTAGAACCAGCGCTCTAAATTGGACTTCTAAGCCTCCAAACTTGTGAGAGAACACTTCTGTTTGTTTTCGTCACCCACTCGTGCTGCTTCTATTACAGTAGCACTCGACGGCTAAGAACACACACTTTACCTTATTTCATCTTCACAATCTTTTGGAATAAGTGTTTAAAGCTGCAGTAAGTGGCCAAACTGAAATGCAGACCCAGGCCTACCAAGCTCTGGCTCCTGTGTTCTTAGCCGGTATGTCATCAGACACTCGACTGAATCTGATAGTGACCATCAAGCTCAACCATGTTGTAGTTATATCCTTGTCAGATCTTTATCACTGACAGGCAATGAGCTCTATTTTGGGCTGGTCATTTATCAAGAGAACAGCCTGACTCCATAGCACAAGTTTATGTCATTTGGTGCTACAAAAAATGCCATGACAGGGGCCTCATTTGACCTCATCTAACTCCACCCAGGGGAAGAGAGACCATCAAGATCAGCATCAGCCCAAGGCTGATACTTGTAATGTGGAGGTCAAACATTCCTCCTCTGTCCAACCTTCTTACCAATGCTGACACCAGCCATCCCTCCCACAGCACTCTCCACTTCTCTGCTTTGTTTGCCTGCCCCACACCCACAGAGACTCCAGGTACTTATTTGTATTATTAGCAAGCTATCTAATCCCCATGGTGTGTCACAACCCCCTTATTTCTGTAGTTCATCCTATTATTATGTGGGAATTACAAGAAGTTGGAGGTTAAACTCAGAAATCCAAGCCTGCTTTCAATTCCAACTCAAAGCAACTCTCTAGAAAATAGCAGAACTGCCCCCTATGGTTTCTTTACAGAAGCAGACTACCCCATCTTTCTCCTGTGTTTTGGTAGGTTTGAACTGCTGACCCTTTTGCTGGCAACCAGGTGCTTTAATCAGGGAGTGGACCCCCAGGGATCCTTATGCGTTACGAGAAGGGCCTTACTAAGCACCCATTGCACCACAGTTACCGACTCTGTCCCAGCAGTTAACTCAGTGTTTCTACCTTCTGTTTGTAGTGCTCTCTGTTGGGAAAATTACGACTAGAATGTGCTGACCTTCTAGAAGCAAGAGGAATGGTGCTCCGTGACCCAGCACTTTTCTCTTTTCTTTGGGTGGTGGATTTCCCACTCTTCCTTCCAAAGGAGGAAAGTCCCGGAGAGCTGGAGTCAGCCCACCACCCTTTCACTGCTCCTCACCCCAGTGACATCCACCTCCTGTACACTGCGCCTGAAAAGGTACCTTCTCTGTGCTTCTAGATGAAAAGGACATGTGTAAATAGAAAGGCAAAGAGCTTCATTGTTCAAGGCTGACCCAATACTCATTGCTCCCGAAGAAATTGTTGAGATAGAACCAGTAGTTCATACTTTGTCCCAAAAGTAGCAATAGTATCTTTAGCCTATGCAACCGAAAGCCAGAAATATTTTTTAACATGAGGCTGTATGGCTCTCCTAGGTTCGTAGCCAACACTATGACCTGGTTTTAAATGGCAGTGAAATAGGAGGAGGCTCCATCCGGATTCACAATGCAGAACTACAGCATTACATCCTGGCAACAATACTAAAGGTAACATCATCTTTTCATCTGGTCGTACTTTTTTGCTAGAATATTTTTCAGTTTTGTTAAACACTTGGTATGAAGACATGATTCATTATAGAATATTATCAGATCATCTTTCTGCCTTCAGTGTGAGACTTTGAAAGGTAAACAAAAATAATGGCTCATGATTGAACAACTCTTCTTGGTGTGATTGAACAACTGAATTTATATGACATGTGAATTATAGGCCAATAAAGCTGTTTGGAACAAAAGAATGGCCGGTCTGTTTAGTGTTTGTAGTCACTGTTTAAGATTTTATGTGTGTTCACGCAGTCCTCACAATTACTTTATGAGGTAGGTGCCCTGATTATTATAAGCATTTTAAAGTAGTGTATCAGTTAAATTTTCAAGACAAAAACTGAGGAAGATTAATTAACTTGCCTAGAGTCACGCAGCACAAAAGGAAGAAAAGCCAGAATTGTAACCCAGGAACTGTGGCTTTCAAACGGAAGCTCCTAACAACTAACTGTGGGCTGACTGAAAATGTTGATAATGCTAGAGAGAGATTGAGAGCCATTTAACTGATACACTACTTTACCTTTGGAAAAGTGAGCAGTAAATTTTAATGCTAGAGAATGAGGTAATCAGGATTTCAAAAAGAAAAATAGTCAGTACAAATGCAGACCTGTCAGTTTGAGTGGCCATCTAAGATGCAAATATTGGTCTCTTCCCATCCGGACAAAAGGAGAGTGCAGAAAATGAAGCTGCAGGAAAGCAATTCGTCCAGTGATTTAATGGACCTTGTGAACAATCAGCATCCAAGACCCAGAGACCGAAAACATGAAAGCTACCACTCATGACTGCTCTGGGATCACAATAGTCTTAGAGTAGGATAAAAATGGGGAACACAACTTAAAATCGTTAAAAAAAAGATCAGGTCGAATAGAGACTGGTCGAACCCCCATGATGAAAGCCCTTAGTCACCTTTTCAGATCTGGAAGTGAACTCACCACTGTGGCTCAGTTTTCTGCCAACCAAAAGATAGGTTTATAAGAGAACAATAACAGAAACTCTAGGGAATTACACACTCCTTAGACTAATCCACCATGTGAAGACAGCTTATGGTGCCCAGCTATCAAAAGATATAGTGTCTGGGGTCTTAAAGACTTGAAGGTAAACAAGCGGCCATCTAGCTCAGAAGCAACA